TTTTTAAAATTTTAAGTTTTGTGAATTTCTAATTATCAATGAGGAAAAACAATCTTAGTTATCGCCTTGAAAAATAAAAAATGCAGGTTGAATTAATACCACATTGATATTATACTTCACTAAAGATTATGAATAAAAGAGTTATTCTTTAAATTACTTGTACATTTAACAACAATTTAATTAATATTATCAGTTAAAATATTTACAAATGGTATTATATTAGAAAATTTAAATGTTTAACATTTCATTTTTTTTAATTGATCGATCTACAATTTCAAAACACTTAATTAGTATTACTTTTAAAAAAGAATATTTAGTATTTTTTGATGTCATGCCAAATATAGTCGACAATGCTTCCCATTCGTCATCTTTCAAATTGAAATTCTTTAATAATTTTTTATCAACAAAAATAAAGAAGCTATAATAATTTCTATGTAATATTGTTTGGTCGTCGGTTAAATAATAGTATTCACAAGTTTTTTTACATTTTTCAAATTTATGAATAAAATCTAAATTTTTTTTAAGACTAAGTTCATTACAAGAATCACATCTGTAACATTTATTACTAAAATCAAACAGGGACGAATTTTCAAAAATACGCTTTTGATCAGAATGGTCTGTAAATAAACGGGGTTTAAGTTCTTTAAGCAATTTAAACATACCTAAACACTTTTTTATATATTTTTCTTCTTCAGTTGGAAAATTTTTAATGTAGTCCGAATAATATTCTAAAGTATGTTCTATCCATACACTCTCTTCTACATGAGTCATTAAATCTAGAACTTTTAGCATTGTAGAAAAAAAAACTCTTTTTAATCCTCTTTCTTCAACACATTTAAAATATAGCGCTTCGATATTTTCTACGTTATCTACGTTTGAAAGATTATAATTGATGTTTCTGCCTGGTTCACTAATTTCCATAGTTTCAGTTGCTAACTTAGACCTAAAAAATAGTATTAAGATATTTGTATTGCAAAATATTTTTTTAAATTTCATGTGAGGGATATTTTAAACTTTTCTATTTATAGTAAAAAATAAATAACAATTTTTTAAATGTGTATTTAAAATTAATTAATTTTTAAAAAGTATTTTTTATTTAATAGTCAGATTTTTGTTCTAGTTTCTCAAAAATTAATATCTAATTTCTAAAACGTGTTTACCAAAAGTAGAAACTTTTTAAAATTTAAGCTTATATTTCTTTAAAAGGTCTATATTTTTAAGAGACTAAGACAAAAAGTTAACTAGTAATTTAAACACAATCTTAATGTCTAAGAGCCTTAATTAAATTATTTATATTTTTAATAAAAATATTTGTTATTGTTTTATTTTGATGTGTAAAATATTTATAAAATAAACTTTATTGCAATTTATTTAAAACACAAAACGTGCAATATTTTTGTGGTATTACAGCCACAGAAAATATTTATAGTCAAAATTTATTTAATTGTTTTTTGTTCTTCTGTATTTCCAATGGATAAAAATACACATATTTATAGTAAAATGACATAAAATAATTGACATCTGGTAAATTATACTAAAATTTTACTTTAATTTACATTAATAAAAATATCATATTTAAAATTTCAATTATTTTTATATTTTTTTAAATAAATGTAAACATTTGGTTTTAATAACAAAGTAACATAAATAAACGGTTATTATTGTTATTTTTATAAAAGTTAAGTTTATTTTGAGTTTTTTGTTATCAAAATATGTGTAGAAGGTGAGTATACTTTTAAAAAAGATTCTCTGCTCTTCTAAGTTCATTTACTGTCAAGTCTTCCTGAATTTATTCCTACAAAATATTTAAAAGTTTCTTAAAGAAGATTTATTAAATTAAGGTATTATTTTAATCAAAAATACTAAATTTCTTACTATATTTTGCATGGTATTTTGTAACTATGCTATTTCAGTAAAAAAAAATATTTTTACTTTACTCCTTTAATAAATTAAACTATTTAATTAGTCAAAAGATTGTGTTTCCATAACTTTTCAGAATTCTGTCTGTTGTAGGTTAGTGATGAAATAACACATTTTTTTCATTTTTTTTTGAAACAAGCTATATATCATTGATTAGGAAATGTCAATTTTGAGTATTTTTTAATATAATCAAAAATAATAAAATTAAAAGAAGAAAAAGAATTAAAAGATTTGGAAGAACTTACAGAAACATATACAAATATAGAAACTGTATAAAATGTGGTTACTTTATAAAACCATATAAGCAAAAATAAAGACTAGTCTGTACTTTCTTTGCTTGTAAAAAAAGATTTTATTGCTATGAAGTTTTAATTTTTGAAGATAATCATATAAGTGTGGAAACAACCATTAAAATTCTTGATTATGGCTTAGTTATGTGTTAGTATATTTAATAAAAAGAATATTAAATGTTTCTAAATCAATTTCTAATCGAATATTAAAAAATTTAGAAATTTGAATGCTTTTAATAAATACCTTAATAATACTATTAAAATAATAGGTGATCTTAATTCTATTGTAGAAGTAGATAAAAGTAAATTTGGAAAAAGAAAGTTTAACAGGGGACACCCCGTAGGCGGTATGTGGGTCGTTGATGCGGTAAATAGAACCAACAGACGCACTATATTACAACCTGTAAATAATATAAATAAAGAAACACTGACAACCTTCTGTACTAAATTTGTTGATAGTGCCTCTAAAAATATATACTGACTGTTGGAAAGGTTATCCTAATCTATATAAACATTTTGATTTATATAAGACAGTAAATCACTTTATTAATTTTGTTGATATGCAGGCAAGAGCTCACACAAATACTATTGAAGTAAATAGAATGCTGTAAAATGAACAATTCCCTTTAGATGTAGAATATCAAGGCTGGTTGATGTCTATCTACTGAGATTTCTTGTAAATAGAGATGAGAAAGAATAAAGTTAAAATGTTTATTAAATCTATTACTTTAGTATGCTAAGTGTGTTTTTTTTTCACTTGTCACAAACATAAAATGCTTGCATATTTTGTATTTGTAAATTTTAAAATGTGGTTAGAATTTTTGATTATATCAAAAAACACCCAAAATCGATGTTTTAACCTACAGCCGATGAGAAATAAGAATATGATTAATAAGTTATAATATTTTAAAAATTTTGAATAAACTCATGTTTTAGAATAATTTTCTTTTACATAACAACAATTATAATAATCTCTAACTTATTACATTTGATTTTCACATCTGTCTTAATATTATGTCACATATTTTTAACGACTACCTGCTGCTGGAAAGTGTAACTTTTTAGATTTTTCTATGAATATTTTATTGTATATTTTTTACACAAAATCGTGCGTATACACTCGACGATCTCGTTATGTCTTCTCATGTAACCATGATTTAAGATTTTTACGTATTTAATAGTTATGTGATCTACTGTAATTTGCTAGATTCCCAATGTGAAAACATGACGCTTTTAGTAAAAAATAATTTTTTTTTCATGCTTACTTAAAGATTTCCACTATATAATCAATTAAATTGTTTTTGGGTTGATACAAGTTTGTAGTTCGGCTTTTCAATTAACGTTAGTGTAAATATCTAGTTTTGAACATCTCTTAGTTTTTTTAAATTAGTGTTTGTATAATATTTTTTACTTCAGGAATTTTTAAATGTTAAAAAATGACTATTTTTTTGTGATGCTTGCCTTCGTGTGTAGATTTTCTTAATAGCAACAAATTATTATTTAGCTTTAGAAACATTGCAAATAAAACTTTCCTTCCTAGAAAGTATTGTTTTTTAGATTTCTTTTTGTCTTTTCTTTGTATAATTTTAATTTGTTTTACATCGTGATTTAACTTCTTATAGTATTTAGGTTCTATGTCTCATAATTCTACATAATATTTAAGTAATAAGTCACTAAGTTAGTTCACTCCTCATTAAACTTGGCTATGTAAAGTGCTTTTACATAAATTATTTATACATTTCTTTACTTTGCTTGTAATTAATTTTTAATCAGTTCTTGTAAGTTTACTTAATTGCCCTTTTTAACGTAGAAATTTGTAGCTTAGTAGTTTAAAAATTAATTCATAATTTCTATCATCAAAATTGAAGTAATAAAAAAACAGTTCAATTAAAACACAAGCCTAAAATTTAGTGTAATTAACAGTAACAATTTTTTAATTTAAGACTTAGTATTTTGCATTCTAAACTTCAACATTGAAAGATGAAGATTTCTAAGTTATTCACTTTAAGGTAACTTTTATAATCAAATTTCTAGTTACATTTTTAATATAATAATTATGATTACTGTTAAAATATCTTATAGATTTACATAAAGATACACATACATAAACTATCATTACTAAATTGATTCTTCTAAATGCCTTGTATATACTTTATGATTTGCACAATTAATTTCAACTATAAAAATAAAAAATCATTTTATCAACAGTAAGCCTTTTAGTTATTTTAAAATCACAATTCAGTTGTACAAGCAAATTAATAAAATGTCTTTTATAAATATTTTTATATTAAAGGACCCTGTTTTCTAACATTACCCTATTTTTAAATTTTAAAATTCATTAATAATTTAAGTTAAACGTGTAAAACCCGTATTCTTAGACAAATAAAAATTTAATGTTTAACCATAAAATACCTTGTAAAACGAATAAAATATCATTGCATTATTTGAAACAATCGAACCTATAAAGAAGACTGCCGAAACCATGATAGTAGTAATAATGCTAGAAAAAAACTCAAAAATACCAAGTCCATCTGAAATAACTCTTTCATTTATAGAAAATACCATCTGGAAAAACAAAAAGAAATACAAACAATTCATAAAGGGTTAGATTTTTTCTGCTTTTAGTGAATTAATAAATTAAATTCTTTAGCTTTTTTACAAAAAAAAATAATGTACGTTTTAAAAATATATAATGCATTTTACAAAATAGTTAATTAATTTATGATATATTGCACTTTGACATTTTTAGTTGTTAAGTGTGTTATAACGAATTATTTAATTAAAAAATGATTTTTATCTTAGGGTTTTTTTATATTTTACTGTATTAATATTTACTAAAAATGGAATCTTTTATAAAACTTTTTTATGCTACGCATCGAAATATTTATGTAATAGAGTTTTGTTATAAAAACAATAATAATTGAGTAGTAATAATTTCAATTATATCGAATTAAAATGTTATAGTAAAAAATCGATAACTTTATTATGATTTAAAATTATCATATCAATTACAGAGAAAATACATTGTTTTATTATACAACACCAGAGCTTATATATTAGTAATTATAATTAAAATACATAAAATATTTACAAAAGGGAAGTTAGTAATTACAATACCATCTCTTAATACTATTTAATTATTGTTATGAACTTTTAACAAAAATTTCGTAATTTAAAAATGTTTTTTTGATATTTTTCAGCCAAGAATTCACATTCGTAGAAGCAATAAGTAGATAATAAATATAGCACATTGCAAATATTTATATTACAATGAATAATTTTCTGTTATTAAAACTAGTAAAATAAATATCCTTAATTATTTTGCACTTTAAGCTTCTGTCTAAAGCTTTTTACAGCTTGTCTATTAAAATTACCTACTACTTAATTAGACAATTTACACTTTAAAATTTCACAATTGTATTTTAATATCTATTTAATAGAAAATGTTAAGAATACAAATTTATCCTCTTAAAATTCAATATATTTATCCTATTAGTTTTTTTACATATTTATTTTTAGTACATTTATAAAACATCATAATTTAGTTGTAAGTTTTTTTATCATTTCTTTAGCACATAAACACACTTTCTTATAAATTAATTTTACAAAAACATACATCATCAGTTACTAAACATACAACTTTATTGTACTAAATTAAAAAAGATAAAACTTAGAACCCAAATATTAAGTTAAAATAATGTTTATCTTCGATTTTGTAAAATTAATCAATATTTTGTTTTTTAAATTAATTAATCAAAATTTCCAACACATTTAATCAATATATTAATAATTATAATTAGTGTATTTATTAATTAACCCTTGTAAAAAAAAAGTTAACTTCTTCAAATTTTTACATAATTAGTGTACAATTTTATAAATTACTTTACATTATAGTCCCATATAACTTTATAATCAATCATAATAAATATAAATTTTAAGCACGTTTACTATTTTTTTTAATAATTTTAAATGAACATTTACTATAAATAACTAATTTACTGTACAAGTTGGTTATATTATTAAAAAGAAAAACGGGTCTTTTTTACGAATTTGCGTACCTTTTTTTTTCAACTTAAAAATAGGGGCTAAAAAAATAAAAAAAAATAATAATTCAAGAAACAAATAGGCCCGCAAACTGGTAAGCAAATTCGTGAAGTTAAGCAACCACCCAGATATTTTTGTATAAATCGAGAGCATTTTAAAAAACTGATGTTGTTGTTTTTAACCTTAAAAATAACACTAATCATAATACTAAAACCTCAATATCACTAACCTAATATTATTACCTCGCTACGATTTTACCAAACTACCTGACCAAATTATCTAACCATCCAATCATCATTTAAATTTAACTGCTTAACCCAACCACCTAATCTAATATTCCTAACCCGACCCAATCTAATACTAACTAGCCCAAAACTACCATATATATCTGTATTCATAAATACAAAAAGCTGTTTTAATGAAATAACAAAAGCACATATAAAATTAAATAGCCATCAAATTACTTAAATAAAATATTAATTATTTCTTTTAGAAGGGCAACAAGATTCTAAAATTTTTTAAAATGACCCCTTATGCCCAGTATTGGCAAAAAAATGAATATTTAATTTTACAATTAAAAATTTTATACCATAAAAGGTTGTTACCATTTTAAAAGAGGCTACAAACGTTTATAATTGTTTAAGTAGTTTTTTTTATTTATTACGCTAACACAATGCTTTAATCAGTTAAATAAAAAATAGTGTGGCAAAAAAAAAGAAATATTTTTATCTAAAATTTAGTATGTTCACCTTTCACTCTTAATAATTCATTGCATCTACTGTTCATGCTCTTTACCAACTTTTTATACACATCTA